TCGATATGTAGACCAGGCTGGCCTCAAACTCAGAGACCCACCTGCCTCTCTGCCTCTCAGGTGCTGAGAGTAAAGGTGTGTGCCACCACACTCTTGTTTCTTGTTAGCCTCTTTGAGAAATGTTCCAGAACTTTCCTTGAAGACCCTGCTGCATTAAACACCCTTCTCGGCTGGCTGAGCCTCCCCTTTCCTCTGGGAGCAGGCTGGGTAGGTGTGTGTGTGTGTCTCTCTCTCTCGGTTTTTCGAGACAGGGTTTTTCTGTGTAGTTTTGGTGCCTGTCCTGGAACTCACTCTGTAGACCAGGCTGGCCTTGAACTCACAGAGATCTGCCTGGCTCTGTCAGAGTGCTGGGATTAGCCCGGCCAGGCTGGGTCTCTCTATCAAGAAATTCACCATATGACAGTTTCCCAGTCCAAGTCAAGGCATTCTAGTAGGTCCCTTTATGTGTTTAAATGTACCGAGGACAGGAAGGCCAGAAAGGAGCAAGAAGAGAACAAACCAATGCGGAGTAGAGGTAATCCAGGTGTTTTTATCCAATTAAACCTAACAAGAGCCAAAGCCCTCCTCCCATCCAGCCACGGAAGACACAAAAGTAGAACAAACACATGGTGAATTTTTGGTGGCCAGGCACAAATGTGAGACTCTCTAGACTTCAACTCCCAGCTGACTGGATGGGGGACGGTGATGAAAACCTTTGCTCTCTACCTCCAGGGTTCCAGAGAAGTCTCAAAACCTGGGGAGAGGTGGGACCTAGGCAGCCCATTTCTCCTGGGAACAACTGTGGCATGTCAGCTTTGATGTTGTCTACCTCTCACTTCCCGTACTTCCTTCCCTCCCTCGTCTCCCAGCCTGCCTGTGTTGGAGGGTGCAGTTAATGATGAGAGCCTCTCAGCCTGGGTGGCAGGGAAGCCTGGCCATCCTTTGTGCATTATCAATACAGGCCGGCTCACTGTCTAGGCCAACCATTTTGTATGTCCTGACGTGGGGATCGAGGTCTGCACGAAGCCACCCACTCTCACTGACCCTGCTCTTTTATGTGACATGCATTTGCCACACAATCATCCAGGCTTCGAAGGTCAGTCCGTGGCCAGGGAAGAGAGAGAAAGGCGTCTTTTCTCCCTTTTCCGCCCAGCCACATCTCCCCCTCGATGCCCCCCGCCCCTTTCAAGGTCTAGCTCTCACCCGAATCCCTCACAAAGCCTTTCCTCCCTCTTCTAGCTGCTGCTGACCTCAGAGTCCTGGCCGTGCTGGCCTCTGCTCCAAGAAGTACAATTAGCACCTGACCAGCCCCTGGCCTGGCTGCTTGTCCTCGCCTCTGATTGTTTCAATGTCTTAGTCATCTCTGCCCCACCACCTCCTTCCCTCAGCTCCCCCACAGCTCAGAGCACAGGTTGGGCACACAGTAGGTGTTAATAAATGTCTGCTGATTTGAAACTCAGCAGCCCCTATGAGGTCAGAACCCTCATAAGCACCCCGACCAGCAGTTTCTTGGCAACCAGCGCTGGGGCCCCCGCGCTACAGGGCATTAGCAACACAGCCGCTATTACAAGACACACGACGCTCAGCAGCCAGAGATTTGCAGGCAGGTTGGTGTTGATGAGAAAAGCCCCTGACCCCTAGGAAAGCGCCCGTGGGATTCTGGGTACCTTTCCTGAGTTTCTTTTCTCCCCTGCAGAACTAGTTTTCAGTCTGAGAACCACAGAGGGAATAAATTGGCGGTGAAGCCAGAAACCCTTTTGCAGCTTAGAAAACCAGGAGTGATAACCAAGGCCAGGCTGGGGTCAGGCCCAGAACAGAGGAGCCAGGGTTGCCCAAGGCTCTTCCTAATTCATCAGGGGACTATGGGATGGGAAAGAGGCATGCCAGGTGTGAGCCAGAGCTTTAGGGGTGTTTGGGAGGGGCCCTAAGTAATGCCATCCTGTCCTGACACCCAGTAAATCACAGTCCAAGTGCGGGCCACTTGCAGCTTGTACATGAGCCCACTTTCTCTTCCTTCTCCTTCACCAAAACCTTAGGGCAGGCTTGAGGGACAGACAACATCCAGACCAGAAGCGAACCATGGTCCCCAAGAAAGAAGAGGCCTGGCTCCCCATCCTGGTCCAGGAATTTGAGTTTGGCTTTACTTTCTTTTTATTTTGTACATTTATTTTGTGTATGGGTGTTTTGACTGCATGTGTATCTGTGCATCACATGTGTGCCTGGTGCTCAAGGAGGTCAGAATCCCTGGGACTGGAGTTACAGATGGTTGTGAGCCACCATGTTGGACCAAACCCCAGTCCTCTGCAAAAGCAGCCAGTGCTAGTACACTGCTCCAATCCCTAAAGTCTGGCCTTAAACTACATTATTTATACAGACAACTCATCCAATCTCTCCGGACTCCTCCTACATCCTACCACCATTTCAGCCTATATCCTACCCTGGAAGGCAAGTGGTGTCGTCTTCATAGTCCTATTTTCTCCACTGACACTTCAGCTGGGGCCAGCTCAGTACTAGGACCAGCTCCCAGCAAATGTTTGCCGAGTTGAATCTTGGGCAGTGTATTAGCCAGTATCAGAGTGCCAATTCCTGTGTGTTGTGTACCACACAGTGTTCTGACGAGCAGCCTATATGTATGAATGTATTTGTTCCTCTCCAACTTTGTAAGGTAAGTTTCTCTAGGAAATTAAGGCATACAACTGACGGGGATTGGGGGGGGGCACATAACTAGTAAATGACAAAACTGGAGTTTTAACCCAGACAGGCTAGCTCTAGTGACTCGGGGCAGAATGAGAAAGTTGGGGAAGCCCAGGAGTAAAGGGTTCCTTGGGAAAGCCATACTCTCAGCCAGTGGCTGACTGGGCCTTTTTGGGTCCAAAGCGCTAAGTTTTTGAAGCACTGGAGTCATTTTCACTATGTTATTAGGCCCAGGACAGGTTACAGGGCCCTCATTTTTAGGTCCCAATATATAGCAGAGGAAGCTTAAGCTATTGTGCCATCACTTAGCACTATGTGAAGAAGACTGGATTTGGGGCCCCCAGATTGGCCAGGGGTGGGCACTAGTTTCTGAGTAGCCAGCAAAACAGTAGAGTGGAGGGAGGAATGCCAGGCATAGTTGCAAACAAGCCACTCCTTCGGCTCACAAAGAGAGGCTGGGTGAGAGTGGTAATGGTGGAGCCTGCTTCATAGACACCCCCTACACACACACACACACATACACACCACAAGAGATCATGGGCTTTGAACCCAGCGCCACAGACATCCATATGCAAGGCAGCTTCTTAGGGCAGCTCCAGGTTGTCACTGATAATCTTCGAACACCTAGAGAGAGCTCCTGTGAGCCTAGCTTTTTTCTGCACTGGCTCAAGGAAGCACATTATAACTGGGAAATCTTACTTGGCTTACAAATTTCCTGGGCATTTTCGATGCCAAAGTACCCTGTCTCCCCAAAGAGAAGACAGATAGATAGGTTCCCTTCACCTCCCTCCATCCTGGCATTCAGGCCAAGCAAGGGTCAGCTCACAGGAGTTGAGTCCCTAATGGGTGTGCCCACCAGCTGTTGGAGCCAGCTGTGGTGGCTCAGGCCAGGGGTGGTGACCTCACTTCCGCTCTTACCTCCTCAGAACTCCTCCCATTTGAGGCCCCACCAGGCCAAAATCGAGAAGTCCAAGGTTAACTGTTACTCCCCACTTTAAGAGCTAATTAAAATGATTAGGTACAATGAACTGTCAAACATTAACTAGAAGAAGCTGCAGGACCAGACAGGCCTCTATCTCAGGCAGAGGGATGAGGGGAAGGAATCAAAGGGTCATCAAATCCCTGGGCTCCTCAGCTGGGGTGCGGTGGTGGTTGGGGGTACCCAAGAGAACCCTGCCGGGCCCAGATGCCAAAGAGTCAGGAGCTAACTCATCAGGAAGTCTAAATCCCAGGCCCAATCCCGACGAAGGGGCAGCAAGTTTAGGGGTACCGTGGAGGGGACAGGAATTCATAAAGTGGTTGCCAGCTCAGCAGTCTCTGAACCGCCAAAGCCAGACTCTGGCATTGGGGAGACCTTTGCGCTGTGCGGTTGCTGAGTCCCCTCGGATGTATCAGGAGAGGAAGCCAAGAGGCGGGAGAACCTTGGAGAGCGGGAACGCGGGAGCGGGAAGCCTGGCGGCTGGCTTACACGGAAACTCCAGCCCCTGCCAAGAGGTCTCTATTTTGGCAGTTCAGGTCTCCAAGTCATAGGTTTACGTGCGAGCGTGTGTGCGAGCGTGTGTGTGTGTGTTCGCGCGCGCGCGCACGATTATGTGTGTGTGTGCGTGTCTAAAGTGCCTGGCTGTGAAAGCCCTAGGGGCCACCACCGGTTCAGCCTAGCCCAGTCGCTCCAGTCTGCTCAACCTCCTGCCCTCCTGCCCTCGGGCGCTGAGATTGGGGGGGTTGGTGAGCGCCGCAGTCACCAACAGCCCTTCCACGGAACCTAAGCTGCCCCGGGCTGGAGAAAAGTGCCTTTCCCGCCCGGCTTCTGCCAATCAGTTCTATTTCTTGTCGGATCAGGAGCCCGGGCTCTACACAGTACACACTCCACCACCAGCCGAGGCTGACGCACCCTTCTCGGTCCCCCCCAACCCTACTCCTCGGCCCCGGCGCCCTTCAGTCCACTCGGGCAAACTTTTCCAGGTCTCTCTCCCCGTGTTCCAAGAAGAGGAGTCATCGACGTACCTGAGGTCCGGCGCTTTGCCGGTCGGATTCGGTCACAGGGCTCCTCGGGTGGGTCACCGAGCGGTCCCCTCCCCGTTCCAGGGGTAGAGACCCGAGTTCCCACCCCCGCCAGGCCGACTTCTCCCCCTCGAAAGCGGGGCTCCGGCAAGTGGCGCCTGGAGCTCGGCGCCGCGGAAAGGAGAAGTGGAAGTTGAGCGCGGCGCCGGGTCGGTCCTCGCGGCCGCCGGGGGCCGCCGCCGCCCGCCCGCCCGCCCGCCCTCCCTCCCTCCCTCCTTCTCTCCTCGGGGCCCGCCTGCCCCCACCGCCCCGCGCCCGTGACTCACCTCGGCGCCGGGGCAGGCTGGTCCGGGCGGGCGAGGCGCAGGGCTCTCCCACACGTCGCGCCGCCGCCAATGGCAAAGTTGGAGGGCGAGATGCAAACACCAGGTGAGACGGCGGCGCCGGGGCTGAAAGGGAGCCGGGGTGCCAGCTGTGCGACGGGAGTATGGGGGCGCCGGGGAGGCCGGGCCGCGCCGAGGGAGCGGCGGCGGGGGGCGCCCGCGGAGGGGCCGCGCGAGCCGGCGGAGACCTGCGCCGAGGCGAGCAAGAGAAAGGGGAAATCGCACTGGAGACACACGTCCCCGCGGGCGGAGGCTGGGCCCGGCGCGAAGGAGGCAGGGCGAGGAGGGACTGCGGAGCCAGAGGGAGGGACCGACGGGAGGGACCAGGGGCAAGCGGGCGGGGTGGAGGAGGGGGGTTGGGAGGGGCTAGGCACCGCAGTGGAAACAGCGCCCCTCCACCCTAACCCCGCCACGGTCGCCAACACGGCAGGGGAAGCCGTGCCAGGGGCCCGCGCGGGCTCTCCTTCCCCGCGAGGCTCGCTGCCCACCCTACCTCCGAGAAGACGGAGCCCCTCCCGAGCTCACGTCGCACGAACGAACGAACGGCTTCTCTAGCTAGCACCCCCCACTCCGCTCATAATTGGCGGGCCCCGGGGCCCTCAGCTCTGACTGGGCGCTTCTTGGCGGGAAGTCCCACACAATATCCCGTGGAGATATCCTGGGGATTCTGGAAAGGCCATATCCAGCCACTCACTCTCCCTGTACAATCACTTGATACCTCCGCTGCTCGCCCCCCCCCACCCCAGCACGCTACATTATCAAGCATCTGCTGTGTGCCAATCAGGCGGCCTAGCAGTAGGTGCTACTTAAAAACAGAGAGGGTACATTTTGGAAACAATGTTAACTCCCACCCCCACCCCCACCCCCACCCCATAGAGTCTCAGGCGAGATATTTCCTGGATTGGTGTGACTGGACAGTTGCAGGGACTTCTAGGGAAGTCCGACCTAGGGCACTTTGGAGGCCAACACAGCAGGTGTCCAGACAGCCAGAATTGGGGTTCAGGGAGAGAGCCCACGCCCCACAGGTCTTCAATATAAAGCCAAGCAATAGCGGTACTTGAGCTGCCGACTTCAACCCGTTTTCTGTTTTGTTACCCTTTTGCCTCTTTTCTGCCTCCGTATCCACCTCAGTCCCCATCTGGTACTACAACTAGGAAGTCCTGGGAAGGTGTCTAGTGGAAATTGTCACTTCTCACAGCTCTATGCAGACTGAATCGAGGGTGGGGTGAGGGTGCGGGAGAGGCGCATGCGGAGAGGGACGGAATGGTGGGGGAGCGGCAAGACTTGACCTTGGCAGAAAAGCTGCTGAAGGGGCTCCAGGGGAGGAGGGCCCTCTGAGAGGTGGCCAAAGGCTCTTCAGTTCAGGACCTACTCACCCCCTCCAAAAGCCTGCTTCATCAGCTTTGGGAAAGATGGTCCCTGGCACAGGGCTAGGGGACAGGAGTGGTGGTGGGTGACATCATCAAAGATGGTTGTGGATCACAAGCTAACAGTGAAAAAAATCTAACGGTTGCGCTGAGGTACAGGCTCCTGAAACCTCCTGGTTACCCAGACAGACAAGGACCAAGAGCAAATTTTTCACTTCTTTTTCTTTTACAAGTGAACACATTCTCTTTAGGGGATTCTAGATCCTGGAAAAACACAGCTTTCTGCTGGACTTTTGCCTGTGAGGCTCTCCTTTCTAGTTTAGGGTAGGTTCTGGACAGCTTCAAAATGCACTAAGGCCAAAGTGGGTACAAAAATTAAAACAGTGAGCCCCACGAGATGCTGCAGGCCTTTAATCCTAGAACCGTGGAGGCAGAGGCAGGTGGATGCCTCTGAGTAAGACCTGCCTAGCTTACATAGTAAATTCCAGGCCAGTCAGGGCTACATAGTGAGACTTTGTCTCAAAAACAAAACAAAACCGCTAACCAAACTGGCTGGAGAGATGGCTCAGTAGTTAAAAGCACTTGCTACTCTAGTAGAGGACCCAGGTCGGGTTCCTAGCACCCACAATGGTGGCTCACAACAGTCCCAGTGGATCTGATTCTCTCTTATGACCTCTGACGGCACCAGGCTCGCATTTGGTACATAGATGTACACGCAGGCAAGACATTTCAATACATAAAATAATAAAAGTTTAAAAAAAGGAGGATGAGTTGGGCGTGATGCAGGCTTTCAATTCTAACATTTGGGAGGCAGAAACAGAAAGATCTCTGAGTTCAAGAATAGCCTGATCTATATAGCAAGTTCCAGGCCATCCAGAGCTGTACAGTGAGAGCCTGTCTTTAGGAGGGTGGGGCTGGAGAGATGGCTGGCACTTGCTCTTCCAGAGTATGCAGGTTCGATTCCCAACACCCACAGGGTGGCTCACAACCATCTGTAATTCCACTTTCCAAGGGATCTTATGCCCTCTTCTGACCTCTGAGGGCAGCAGTCACTCACATGGTACACAGAATACATGCAGGCAAAACATTCATACCCATAAAAATAAAATAATAAATCTTAAAAGAAATTTAATTGAGAATGATAAGAACAACCCCAATAAAGCTGCGGTGAGGACCGAGTAAGATAACATAGTCTCCATAAATGTTAGCTATCTTCAAACTCCATTTGCTTTCTCAAACCAGTTCTTGCAAGAAAATGTAGCAGGACCAAGGCAGACGCTGCTGAGGACTTACGGTGCATTCCTTCTGAAAATATATGTAGTTTCAACCAAGGTTGAAGCCTCAAAGCAGAATATGAGGCAAGCTCTTCCTCTTGGTCAGAGAAAGAGGTCAACACTGTGGACCACTCAAAGTGTCTGGCTATATTGCCTGCTGGTGACCTGTAGCCCACGCTTGTGGGAATCCCGTAAGTTACCACCTTCGCCAGCCACTCAGAACTAACCACAGCCCCACACCCTTCTAGTTGAAGTCAAAGCAAACCCCACCCCACCCCAACTTGATGAAAATCTTGGGCTGATCTCACCTTGGGAAGCCATGAGCCACCTGAATGACATTTCTGGCTGCCTTTCCCCATAACCCTGTTGCTCCTCAGCCTGCCAGCCCTTCTCTGCTTGCCTCCCCGTGTTCCACGGTCCCATTGGGTAAGCCCCCACCAGGTGGGGCCAGCCAGACTGATTTCAGCATTCTCCAGGGGACAGCCACTGTCTCTGGCAATGGCTCATTCCCTGACTTGGCAGGAATTCCCCTTCTCGTATTGCCTGTCGATGCCCAGGAAGAGCCATCCGCAGCGCCCTCTCGGTCCCTCTTTGTTCCCTGTTCCCTGACTGGCTCTCAGGCCTCAGAACCTGATTCTTTCCAGGAGCTGAAGGACCTCACCCCCACTCCACCCCACCCCACCCCTCCAGGACCCCTTCTATCCTTGTTCTCTCATTTTGCCCTTCTTCCTTGATGGTCTCCATTGCCTCCTCTCTCAAGCAGTGCCCCATAGTCTGTTTTCTGCTGCAAACCACACCAGGTTGTTTAAAGGCACAATGATTTCTTATTTCTCTTCCTCACTTAAATCACTGGCCTCAACAAATTCTGTTCAAACCTGCAGCCAGGACAAAATACCGCAAAGCTAGTTTAAGTGGCCCTTGCTTTCTACCACAGAAACATGCTAGAAAAGCTATGTATCAATCAGACTTTTGGAAGGAAAAGCATATTCCGAATCAGGAAGAGAAGTTAGTTTCAGAGGACTCTTCCTCCCACTCTGAAGCTGAGAAGCCCTATTAGCCCTCTGTAAAGCAAGCCGTCATTTTTCAGTTGCATTTAGTAACCACACATTTGTAGTCATAGGGTTTCCAGAAAGGCCTAGGTATCCAAATGACAGGCAGAAATCTTGATGCTTCAGATTATGGCTAATCAGCATAGGCAGTGTTCATTCTATAAAGCTTGTTGAGGACTTGGCAAGACGGCTCAATGGGTAAAGGCACCTGCTGTTAACCCCGAAGACCTGTGCTTGATCCCCAGGATCCACATGGTGGAAGAAGGGGAGAGAGAACTGATTCCCCAAAGATGTCCTGATTCCACTCACATACCATAGATCATGTTCACACCCATACACATACATTCTCACACACACACACACACACACACACAATCAGTTTTCCATTCTTAAAATGGAGATTCCAAGCAAGTTGCAGTAGCTTACTGCTGTAATCCTAGCATTCAAGAGGCTGAGGCAGGAGAGTTGCTATAGGTACAGGGACAGACAGCCTTGGCTACCGAGTGATACCTTTGTTTTTTAAAAAAGGCTCTTCCCACACAAGCCTGACCAATGGGGTTCAATCTCTAGAACCCACACAAAAAGTCAGAAATGGGTGGTGCACATCTGTAATCCCATGCTGATACAGGAGGTGGAGATGGGAAACTCGGACTCAGGAAAAGCTCCAGGGCTGCCTGGATTCGCAATAGCAGAACAACGGGACAGACCCTGCTTCAAAACAGGTAGAAGGCAGAACCGGACTCCCCAACGTTGTCCTCTAATTTTCACGTCTGCATCATGGCCACACATACACATGTATTTTAAAAGATTAAAAACTTTTTAAAAAGGAGTACATGCGTGTTCTCCTGACAGTCCCCGGGACACTGAAGCCCCTACAAAAACTTGAGGGGAACACTGTGTCTCATTTCTTGGTAGGCTGGACAGCTGCTCCAGAGGTTGCTGAAGGGAGTTGGCAGCCTGATAGCTGATGCTATGAGCCTTGAGCTGGCACCCAGCATGTCAAGCCTAGAGGTTGTGGCTGATTGCAAGTGCTGTCCCAGCCACATCCAGGATCCTGGTTGGTGTTTAGGAAACATACTCGTTTGCCATGGCACCTCGGGGATGGGAGCAGGGAGGTTTGGGAGGTGGGAAGGGGGAGAAGAGACAAGCCCATGATTCACCTGAAAGAGAAAGAAGTGGCCTCAGGCAGAGCTCAGCAAATTAGGGCAAAGCCCCTCGAGTCTCAAATACCGCAGGTCTCCAGTCCTTGCTCTGGGAATCTCCTAGAGGTAATAGAGCAGTAAGGGTTCAGGGCCACTGATGAATGTAACCAGAGTTTACTCTTCACTCCTCAACAGCGTCTGGCCTAACATTAGTCCGTGTCATCCTTTTAATAACAATTATAATTCTTTTGTGTGTGTGCATGGTATATGGGTGTGTGTGTGTGTGTGTGTGTGTGTGTGTGTGTGTGTGTGTGTGCGCGCGCG